GGTCTTTCTAGCCACTCTTCTAGGCTAGAACGCGAATGTAGGGTATCCTGTGGCGGGATCTCGTTCTGATTATGCTGAGAGTTATCCGAGAGGTCGCGCTCGCGGAGTCGAGAGAATGCTCCAGATATTGCATTGTAAAAGACATTCTCAAGACCGTTCTGAAGCGGCTTAAGAGCTTTGCGTATCTCCTCATCTACCGAGCTCGATTGCATATATTCTGGAAACTGGAATTGATGTCTCAAATACGTCCTCGTCCTCGTTCTTGTCCTCGTTATCATTGTTGATGAGTTGATGATACATCTCTTAAGGCCATAGAGCCTATGAAAGAAACACGCTGAATCTTGCTCTGCTAATGTCGATCGTAATTCCCTATTTCATCTTCGCCCTGCTTATGCCGTTTCCAAGCTTTTCATCTTCCTGCCTCTTCTAGGCAGATCTCAGCTTCGTCAAGTAGCCCCCACTACATGATACTACTCCTAGCACCATGTAGATGTACCTCCCTATATAGGGAAGTCTCAAATACGTTATATTTGCCCATCTGCATCAGATATTCTAAGGGATTGGTATGTCATGTGACCAGGTAGGGTGTAAATGGAGCGGGGTACGGGTGTGAATGGAGCACAGCAGGGTGTGAAAGGAGCTTCACCCCCATGGCAACACATCACATGACCCGCACGAGCCAAACTACTTCTCACTCTCAGATGAACCTTCCAAAACCTATGCATAATGCATTAGGAATACATTTATTATAGCCCAGTTCATTAAGACTTGGTACTAATATATTAAGTTAGTTAAGTTAGGGATATATTCTTAGTTAATTCTTGCTTAACGACATCTTGATAAACGGCTAGTGCAAGGCAGTGCGAGAAGGAAAAGTTCATCTGAGGGTCGGCATTGTCATCTGAGAGTGGGACGACCCGCAGCCTCACTAGCGATTTTCATGCGAAAGTTCATCTGAGGGTGGGGCGAACTGTAGGCTTATTCAACCACGTGACCCGATCCCCTACTTTTCCGCGTCCTTTGCTAGCTTTCCCATAATAATACCTCCCGTTATAAGCATCGCGACTTCGTGAGCTATCTATGGTCATCCTGCTTACTTAGCTATGTGACAGGCCAAGTCCGCCCTCGTCAGGTGACGTCCCGTCTGTACCACACAGCTACCGAGCCCATTGGCAAGGTGTCTAGACGACAGGCTCCATTGAATACATGAACATTATGTAGAGGTATCGATCGAAAAGCAGGCGGGTTGGAGGCTAGTACTGGATCTACCAGACCTACTGAGTACTGATCTCACTGATCAGTCCATGTCGCTTATGACCTTCCTGCCTCGTTGCCTGAATCAATTTCCCCTTGGCTCTGAGCAATTACTGAAGCATGTCGAAGGGGGTGTGTCAATGGCGAAACTCGAGGCTCTCCTCCTCTAAGTAATCCTTAATTAGTCCAGTCCTTGTTACCAGCATATGTTGGCCTGAAGTAGGCACCGGCAGACGCATCTGGATGTTTCAAACCAGTTCAAGACGCGCCTCCCTGCAGACGCTGGAGGGCACAGCAATGTGGTCAACTCGGTGGCCTTCTCACACGACTCGACCCGACTTGCCTCCGCGTCGCATGATAGCATGGTCAAGATCTGGGAGGCAAGCAGCGGCGCCTGCCTGCAGACACGCTAAGTTGGGATGAGACTCCGTGATATATCGTTCGATGCTACTGGTTTGCATATTTATACTGACATCGGTACCTGATATATATGGTCGTGTTGCTGCTACTATACCTTTGACCTCCAGTGGCTGCTTGAAATATTCCTGTCCCAACATGTATTCCTTTATTCCTGCATTTCGTCTGCGTGAGGGCATTATTCGAACTGGTACAAATTCACTGCTTCCTATATGATGTTGGGGGTCGACGCCGATCTGTAGGCGGGCGCCAGTGTTGTGGTTAAGGGCTTAAATTGAGATCCCTTTGGTGTTATAGCCATCTCCATACTCTTTGAGAATCATTCAACATGTTGGACCAAGAAGCACGAACGGAAGAACGAAGCGAAGACATTACTTTCTCGCCTGCCCGCGTTGGAACTTTTGACCTTGTCAAGTTCAAGCTCGGTTACTTACGGGAGCTACTAAATGACGATTCGATCCAGATGCAACGTCAGCGCAAGAACATTGAGTATCTCGTCGACTACTATGAGAATGGTGGGAAAGTTCCCGAACCGGGCCAAACTATTTGGCTTGTAGATGGCGTGGTCGTCGACGAGATGCCCAAGGGTTCTACTGGTAAAGCAATATGGAGAGAAGCGGTCCGTCTCCCCAACCCTTATCTCCGTTACTTTGGCTCATTTTCACTTCATCTAGAGTATAGGCCATCAACTTATGCAGTCAAACCCAGCTGCTTTGGCAGTAGGTTCTTACGAATAGAGAATATTTATATTCTAAAGCCTTGGGTTGACTGTAATAATAGTCGGGAGCTATACAAATGGCGCAGGCAACGCCTTTTAGGTTAAATGCTTCTGGAAGTATGCATGAGGTAACTACGTATATTACCTCTCTCAACCATGTGGCTTTCCAACGTCGGAAGATCATTGCCAGGTTCCGACTCCCAGCGATGTTTGGCGGTGACCCAAGTATTACTACTGCCGTCGAGATCATGAACGACACTGGCTCAAATATTCAGACCGTCTTATTAATAGATTTAGCGGCACTCCAGTACAATCCATTGACGTACCTTGGCGACCTTGGTGCGTATCCTATAGAGACAGCCAATGGCATCGCATATTGGCAGCAGATCATGATAGAGATGCAAATTATCAAGCTGGATGGTACCTCTATTACAGGGTGGTTTGAGGAAGTCGCAGCAATTTTTCCTGGAACGGGCGCACAATACCGGCTCTCAGGAGATGCGATGCGGAACCACCTTTACTTTGCGACTGCTCCGGGAAATGCGACTCTCTTTGTTGCGGTGAAGAAGAATGGTCTTATGAGTCAACTCCCTATTGTGTAAATCAATATGGCCCGTTTTGACAAGACTATTACGTCTTGACGATGTTGCATGAATTGAATTGTGGTTGATAGATCATCATTGTTCCATGCTACGGCCTACGGCCGGCTACGACCTACGGGTGCCGTTATCTATGCTTACTTAATGATGTCCTTGGTAGACCCCCTTGGGGCCTCAAGTGTGGAAGCGAAGCTGCTTCACTTTAGCAACCTTTACGAAATAGTTCTATTGCAAAACCATACATCTTCCTTAGCCCCTGTGTTCCTTAGTGGCCCCTACATGAGTGTCGTTCCTGTAGGTAGATCACGAGGTCTAGTGCTTTAGGGAATACGCAGCATCTCCCAATGAAAATTCCGGATAAACAGTGAATTTGGAAATCTCGCACTTTGATTGGCTGTGACTCCTGATATCACGTGCACTGAGGATATGCACGTGTGAAGATGAATTTGGATCATCGACAATGCTGAACAGCTCTTTGAGAAGGGAACAATGAACCGTTGGGAAATTCCCATTTCCCAAGTGAACTTGGATCAAACTGAAATGCTGTGAGCTGAATTCTCCCATGGCTCACATATTTCTTCCATCCAACTCCCACCGCCGTTCGTGAGGAGAGTGGACTTCGATTTAGCATCCTCACCACGGCTTTGCCAGCTGACGCCGACGAAACATCTCCATGAGGCATATATCATGGACTACGCTCAGGTTCTGGTCCGGAGCGTTGCTCGTACCTTCTACGAGACCGAACATGTCGTGATCATTGATACTCTAGTGAGACATTCGGCGTACGTGGAATGATGCGCTGCTTCGATGTCCAAGCTGACTCGATGCAGTCTGTCCCTCAGCGACCTTGCGGTTGTTATGGACTCCGGCAAACAAGTCAAGAACGTTCAAAAGCTATGCGCCAAGTTACGGGAGGCCGGGCTGGTTTCAGTGTATGTATGCATGCTATGCGCACAGCTAAACAGTGTTAACCTATCTGGATATAGCCATGCGCGACAGGAGACCCGCGAGGGCGCGCAGAAGCCCATAACTCGGGAGTACTTCTACATCGACTATCGCCGCGCGATCGACTCGACGAAATATCGGATCCACATGCTTGACGAGGAGATCAAGCGGGAAGCGAGACCGACGACCGAACGGAAAGAATATATCTGCAAGCGTTGCGAGTCGCAGTGGACGCTGATGGAAGTCCTGGATAATCCTGACCCATCTGGGAGCGGCAGCGGGTTTCTGTGCAAGAAATGCGGGTTTGGTCTAGAATTGAAGCACGATGAAGATGCAGCCGGTGAGGCCGATGATCGTCCCGCGATGTTCAACAAGCAATTTGGACATTTGTTGACTCTGCTGCAACGGATCGACGATTCCGTCGTCCCCGAAGTCACGGGAGAAGATGCGCTTGCAGAGGCCGTCCCCGTGCCACGGGACGAGATGGTGAACCCAGCCATGAGAACCACAACAAACGAACTGTTTGCCAAGCCCGCGGCTGTGAGAGGAATTGCCACAGGACCTGAGAATATCGAGATTGCTATTACAACACATTCCGAGACAACTGCGGCAGAGCAAGCTGCGGCCGCCGCCCATAAAGAACGGATTGCGAAACAAAATCAACTACCGGTTTGGCACACACAGTCCACAGTTACCGGACCTCCAACAATTGCCGGGCAAGCGGATGGAGGTTCACGAGACGATCAAGCTGCCGATGGAGCAGCCCAATCATTCGGGGACGAAGCAGGGGAGGACATCAAAGACCCCAGTCTGGATGCCTACTTTGAGCAACTCAAGGCCGAACAAGAACGACAGGCGCTCAAAGAGGCGGAAGAGGAGGAGGAGGAGGAGGAGGACGATGAAGATGAAGACGAAGATGAGGATTTCGAGGACGTCGTTGCCCCTGCTGTGAATGGGACGTCAACCGGACCTGAACTCGATGACCAAGAACGGGAGGCGAAGAGAGTGAAGATCGAGTCGCCTCCGGCAAAGGTGGAAGATAAAGCAGGAGACGACGAGGAATCGGACGCTGATGACTTTGAGGACGCCTTGTAGTCGATCAAGGGCTCCTAACCTTCGGTGGTAGATGTTGAACATGTAAAAAGTGAACTTATACCAGCGATGAAAGTCGTGAATAATGAACGTCTTAATCGTGCTCATATGATACGAGTGTGACTTGAACCCAACTGAAGATCATCTAATTATGGCAATAATAATGGGATCTCGTCCTGTTCTGCTGATCCAAAACACCCTTCGTAGATATTTTTCATCAACCAGAGGGATCGATGTTCTGGCCTCAGATACATTAGATGCCTTGTTGCCTGATGGGTCTCAACCTCAATCGTAACCGAATTGATATCGGACAATAATATTGTCAAAATCGACAGTTGCGCCGCAGACGGTTACTGCGATAGAATTTCAAATCGCGGCTGTGGCGAATCCATATTTTCCGATTCCCTCATACCGAGACTTGCTACGTCAGCATCGTCTTGTGCGACTGCACGAGTGAACTAAGCGTGAAGCCTAACTTGGGCCATACAATTTGACATGGTGATCTAATCCATCATTACAATGTCCAAAGATTCCTTAGCCGCCCTGTTGGGGGCGATATCCCTCGAGGACCATGAGCAAACCGTGAAGCTTGCGGAAAATCTACTCAAAAAGTCCTCGTCAGACGCCAAGGTGCAACGCGCGAGAATAGTAGCGTTGCTGAATCTCGATCGTTATGAAGAGGCCATCCAAGCCATCGAGAAGGCGAGTCGGTCGTTTCAGCAAGACTGCTCTTTAGAATACTCCTATGCGCTGTATCGATGTGGCAGGTTGCAAGATGCCATCAACATAGCTGGAGATAAGGGCTCGGAAGGAAGTAAGCACCTGCTTGCACAAACGGTGAGTTGAGATCTTTATCATTAAGGGGCAGCGGCTTATAACTTCACAGCACTACCGACTCGAGGCATTTGAGAACTCAGCAGCCCTTTACAAGGAGCTCGCCTCGCAGTCCAACCTTGACGAGGATGAGGTGAATGACATAGTCATCAACCGCGGCGCCGTTAACGCGCAGCTGGCCTGGAAAGGGCGAGATGATATTTCGCTCGGCCTCGATGAGGGTGCTGGTCTTGAATCATTTGAAGCTTCTTTCAATGAAGCCTGTGCATGTCTGGGACGAGGAGAACTGGCCAGGGGCGAAGCATTGCTAAAGAAAGCACAAGGTTCGTCAGATCCTCTCCATAATAATGGCATCTGCTGATGACACGTATAGAACTTTGTCTGTCTTCGTCAATCTTGACGAGTCAAGAGAAGAGTGTTGAGGTGCTTCAGATCATGGAACAGAAGGTTTTTGCTCTGCTTCGAGTTGGAAAGGTTGCCGAAGCCAAAAACCTTGCTCTAGCGGTTACGTCAAAAGAGTGCGTTTTATTACCTTTTCCGACTTTCTGCAGCGTCATCATACTGAGCTGATCAATAGCGTATTCGATCCGTCCCTCCGGATGATAAGCCAAATCAACTTAACCATTGTAGAGAGTAGCGACAGTAAAGAAAACCCATTTATTGTCCACAGGAAGTTGCACGAGAAGACGAAGCTTCCCGCACTCCAGGAGCCATTCGGTTTCCAGTCGAGTGTGATCCTCAAGAACAGGCTGATTGCAAACTCCTTGGTTCAAAAAGGCAAGGAGGCGGGATATTTATCGGGTAGTGACCGGGAGGGTCTTTCGTCGTTTCTCGCCGCGGCCGCCGGGATCGAAGGCAAAACCAACTCGAAAGTCATCGAAACCCTCCTACCACGCCTCAACAAAAGCCCCAAAGACCTCGGCGTGGCCTTCCTCGTCGCTCAATTGTACGTGGAAATCAAGAACCATGACCAAGCCATCGTCATCCTCGAAAAGCTAGTCCACGCGCTCGAGAAGTCAGGCACCCCCAACGATTCCGAGATCCGATTCGCCCCAGGCCTCGTCGGCCTCCTAACAAACCTCTACCATCACGCCGGCCGACCCAAATCCCGCCGCGCCGAGTTCGCCAACTACGCCCGCCATATCCAGTCGACGCAATCCCTCTCCAGCGCCCCCCTCCCTCTCCTCCTCACCGCCGGCGCCGCCCTTCTCGAGTCCTGGGACCGGGACGACCTCGTCCTCGCCGCCCATCTCTTCTCCGCCGCCCACGAAACCCACCCGACCAGCCGCGCCGCCACCGTCGGCCAATCCGCCGCGGCCGCGGCCCTCTCTTCGACGACCCCCAGCGCCTCCTCCGCCCTCCGGCCCATCTCTGCGCTCATCGCCGACATCTCCACCGCGTCGCTCGAAGCGGCCGGCGTCCCGCTGACCAAGGCTCCGATCGCTACGAAGCGCGCGCGGGACGAGAAGCCGACGACGAAGGCGACTAAGCGGATCCGGCCGAGTCGGATGCCGAAGGAGTTTGTGGAGGGGAAAGTCATGGATACGGAGCGGTGGCTGCCGTTGCGGGATCGGTCATATTGGAAGCCGAAGGGACGGAAGGGGAAGAAGAAGGCGGAGGGGCTAACGCAGGGGGGTGTGGAGGATGAGGGGGGGCAGCAAGGAGGGGGGCAGGCGGGGAGTGTTGTTGTGGGGGGCGGGGGTGGGGGGAAGAAGAAGGGAAAGAAAGGGAAGAGATGAGGTTTGCGGTAGATCAATGTCAAGAGCCGTCTGTTGATGGCAGTATTATTCTGCTGTGGAAGTCGTCTGATATTACCGGATTTTCACTGCATGCAACTTCTGCCCCGATGTCGCCCTGAACAATATCGTTGTCTCGAGCACTATGACAGGATTTGAAATCCAAAGAATTGCTGCGGTCTAATACTTTTGCGCTTACAAGCTGCCTGCGCTTCATGTGAAATCAAAGAATCGGCACGTTTCTATAGCGACTATATCTTAAGTATGCTATTCTATCCCACCTAGCGGAACTCATAATAGTATGCCAAGTAAAAGGCATTGACCATATGTGTATCACTCGCTCAGCATGCCATGATCCCAATCACCACGCCGTAATATCATCCACCTCCGCCTCCCCAAACGTCGAACTCTTCGTCACCCCAATCTCCCCCTGCGCCTCCAACACCGGCGACCCCACCGGGCTCCTCCCCATAATATCCGGCAACTCCCTCCCCAAAAACCCTAACAAATGCGCATTCACCTGCTCAAACTCCAGCAAAAACGCATCATGCCCCTCCGAGCTATCGATGCTCTTCAGCGTCGCGTTGGGGATGTGCGCCGCGAGCTCCTGCTGCTCTGCGAAGGTGAAGAGGCCGTCGGATTGGATGCCGAGGACGAGGGTGGGCTGCGTGATGAGGGCGAGGGCGGCGGCGAGGTCGGCTTCGGGGGAGGCGGTGCGCGGGACGCGGTTGCGGGAGACGTCATGCGTGTCGAGCTTCCGCGTGATGGCGATGTAGCAGTTTGCGTCGAAGCGTTTGATGAACTTTTCGCCTTGGTAACGGAGGTAGGATTGCGCGGAGAAGTAGGTGGGTGTCTGGAGCAATATGTTAGTGAACGTGCGGTGTTTAACGGGTTGGGAGTGGAATTTACCCTTAGCGAGGCGGCCTTGACGGCGAGTCCGTTGGTGTCGCCCATTTGCGAAACCGCAGCACTGCTATTCTGTCGCGACGAGCGAGGCGATCGCGCGTGCTTATGACCATCGTTATGGATCGCCCACGCCTCGTGCGACGGGTGGCGCGGTTGGCCATTGATATCCTGCCGCTTGGTCGGGTCCGGCGTGTTCCTCCCGAAGCGCGACTCGAAGGAGTTCCGACTGCGGTAGGTAAGCAGCGCCGACATACGCGCCGCGCCCAGGCCCGTTGTAGGCGGGTCTTCGAACCGGTAGTAGCCGTCGTCGTACTTCGGGTCGCTGTAGATGCTCTGCCGCTGCGCTTCGCCCCAGGAGATACCCCAGGCGCTGTACCGCGCCGAGGTGGCGATCGGAATGATGGTCCGCACGTAGTCCTTGCCGAAGTACGCGAACTCTAGCACGAGCATGCCGCCCATGCTGCCACCGATCACAGCGGCCAGCTGCCGCACGCCTAGATCGTCAAGTATCAACTTGAAGATGTTGACGTCGTCCCGGACGGTAGTGAGAGGGAATTCTGGACCGTAGTGACGCTGGGTCGGGTCACCGTCCATGCACGTGACCGGACTCGCGCTGCCGTACGGGCTGCCCAGGCTGTTGATGCACACGACGAAGAAGCGGGAGACGTCGAACGCCTTCCCGGGGCCGCCGAGCAGCGGGCCCCACCAGTCGCTCGCGTCGGCGCTGCCGGTCAGTGCGTGGCAGATGAGCATGGCATTGTCCCGCTCCGGGGAGAGGCTGCCGAAAGTTTTGTATGCGACGGGTACGTTGTGGAGGACATCGCCGCATTCGAGCTCGAATGACGGGACGATGGCGATCTGCTGGCCGCCGACTAGGTTGATGAGCGGGTTTTCAGGCTGGGCCGTTACTCGTTCTGCATCCAAAGGTCAGTGTGCGGCTGCGCATGGACTCTAGTCGACTTACTGTACTTGTATCCATTTTCCATAGGGTCGGTTGAGTCGGGGTTCGAAATGAGGGGCATCTCATTCATTCCAAACGTATTATCGGATGGGGGCGTCGGAGGAGCGGAAGGTGAGGTGGTAGGTTTGGCCTGGGGGGAAGCGTTCCATATGCGACGGTTCGAGGGAAGAATAGAGGGAAGAATATAGAGGGATTGAGATTCGGTGAGCGAGTTAGAGGGCTGGACGGGTTATGTAGTATGTACCGGTAACTAGTGAAGGAAAATCGGCGGGATGACTAGTCGGTGTGGAGACGGGGTGTACGAAAATAGGTGATGATTCACTTCTGATATGGTTCATATAATGATAACTACTGCAATATGAATTGTCAGTTGGAGGCGGCGATGGCGGCGATGGCGTGCTGAAATTTCTTATAATCAGCCAATCAGCGTCTATATCTCAACTCCAACTCCGGCTTTTATTTCTTTGACTCTTGGTTGTCTCTTGATTCTATCGTGACTCTCTTCCCGCATATAAAAACTAACCACCGTTCTTAAACTCGTCAAGGAAAAGCCTGTGACAGCCCTCCATAACTATGCTGTGTCAATAACTTGGTGGGATGGATCTCATACCGTGTTCCTCCCTCAAGTCCATGATAGGAAACCTGGGATATGGTGCCGACTTCGGACTGAGATCGAGGGGCTTAACTGTCATTACCACGAGGTGGCGCATACTAGTCTAGCTAAATAGCTGAGGTTCTGTACACGACTTATCCCCAGTTTCCCTATTCCATACACATGCAACATGGTTACATGGAACCCTCCCCTTGTCAAGCCTACAGCCCTAATACGGATCTCCAAGTCATTCATCTGCCCCTTTCCTCCTTCTCCTCTAAGGTTAGAAGTTAATACAAATTGATACTTCGTGATGACTTCGATGGACTCTGATGTCCAGCGATCCGGTACCAGTTGCAAAGATTCAGGAGCAGTTGGATGGGTAGATTCCCAACAGAACCGGTTCAGCGGTACTATTGGTGCTCGCCACTATTGGATAGCGTACACAGCATCAGCGGCAGCTTTTCGACCACCATGCTTCAAGCATGTCCTACCGAAACGAATGACTTGGCATTGCTACACCACGTGTCAGACTGTCCTCGCCCTCACGAGTGATTTGACGGATAAATGTAACGGACGTATCTGGGATAAAGGGAACATGAAGTTTATAAGCGTATGGTTCGGCTTGAATATTGTATTTATAAGTATACGAGTCCCACCATGACGTTGATCCCAGTGTCAACTTCAAGCAGCTCCGTCCCATGTCAATGGCGGTGCCTCGGGGCTGGAACATTCAAGTCACGAACCTGGTGGGTAGAGCGTCCATGGAATGCGTCTAGCCGGGATAGCCGAGCGAAAAGTCGAGGGTTTCGCAAACGAGACCGTGGGCGCCGGTTGAGAGGTTTGAATGCGGTTTGAGCGGAGGGGTCGAGAAGGGGCGAAATGAAATTGCTTGTGGTGGAGAAATGGAGATTGATGAGGTACATCAGGAGTCGCAACAAGACAGACAGGCCATAGGCACGATCTATCCGGGTTGGGAAAACGAGCCACTAGCAGCACAACTTCATCACAACCCGACACCTCAAATGCACCGACCAAGACCCATCATGAACCACGAGGGACGCATCCCTCGCCCGCTGACATTGTACATGCGAAGCTAACCTCTATCTGCTAATGCAACCCCTCCGTCGTCCCCCGTTCCCTCGGCGCCAAATATGTTACATGAATCCCACCGAGAACAGTACTCGTAGCTAGCAATCCGCCGCCGTCGTCGGCGGTCGTCTAATGATATGAACGTGCGGGTGAGAGGAGGGGCCCGGCTGCGTCGTTGGTGGTGAGGAGGTCGTGGGTGTTGGACGCGGGGAGGTGGGCGTGTCCAGGGGGCGGCGACCGCTAGGGTGCACGGCTGCGAGCCAAGGCGGAGAGCGACCAGTTTCTCGGTATCGAGAATGGCGTCAAGCCCACAAGCGCTGGAGTGACCCCGAAGGAGTAAGACGTTGGGTGACCACAAGCCTCCCGCCCTCTCACGCCCCATCCTTCCCGTTCGCATCCCCCTTCATCGCCAGCGAGATGGCGATTTTTTTCCCAGTTGGATCCTTCCCCGCCTGGATGCTCCGTTTTCTCCTTAGCATGTGCCCATGCGGCGGCTGATGCGCCGCCGGTGGCTCTGCGCCCGGCTGCCCCGACGAGTTCCGCCGCTTCGGGTGCGCCGATAGCTTGCCGAGCTCGTCGTCGTCCTCGTCCTCGCGGCGGCGCTTCTCAGCGATTTTGGTGGATGGGAGGGGCGCGGGGGAGCGGGCGGAGGTGGAGGGGGAAGGGGAGTCGGAGGGGGGGCTGGTGGCGGTGGAGTCGGCGGGCGGAGAGGTGGTAGTAGGGTCGGTGGGGAGGTCGGGCAGTTCGTCTTCGTCGTCGGGGTAGTTGACGAGGGGACGTTGGGGGGAGACGCCGTTGGTGGGGGCTTTGGCGGTCGCGGGGGCGTTGGCTTCTTCTTCGTTATCAGGGCCGTTGAAGTAGGCATCCTCCTCGGGGTCATGATCCTTGAGTCCCTGCCACCGCATGCCGCCGTTGACGATGTTACGGTTGGGGGTCTCGGTTTCGGTGCTGGTGAATGATTGGTCGTGATTGAGGAGGGGTTCGTTCTGGTCTGCGATTTGGTTGTACTGGTCGTATTTTAAGACCAGAGCGGGAAATGTCTCCACGTAGTCCAGAGCCTGCAGTCGGTCCCGGTAATTCTCGACCAGGTGGACGACTAATGATTTCATATTCTCCTGTGCGCTGTTAGCGTGATCATCAGTAATTGAACGGTTCGACATACCCTCCGAATGGTCTCGAACATTTCCAGACAGGCCGAGTTGAGGAGGTTGTCTTTCGGCTTAGTTTCGAAGACAATGTTGAGGATGGGTTCGAAGAGATGATGCTGGATGATCTGCTTATTGTAATACTCGTCTTTCAGACCGATGCACGTCCGGAAGTATTTGAGCGCGGCTGCAATCCGTTAGCCACATCCATGGGCCTTGGTCTCGGTGACTTACTGAGCTTCAAGTGCTTCTCGGGACATGCCATCAGCTGGGCGACGCGGCAGGCAAGGAGCTCCTGTAAAATGAACTGCTTGCTGCGGAATGCGTGCTGTCGGAGGAAGAATGAAAGGATTTCAACCAGATGGCTAAAGAGCAGCACCTCTTGCACGTTGAGATTGTCCACTGTGACAGTTAGTATCGCACAAGCAACACATCTCAGGTAGACCTACTCGACTGCCGATGCTCGAGATCCTTCAGGGCTTGGAAAAGTCGCCTTGCCGAATCATCGTAAAATCGTTGGATGAACATCTCCGTCGGCGGCATGTGCATGGGCCCGCCTCTGAATTTTGCCATGTACTCATTGTTCCCGCGCGCGAGCGCTTCCAATGACGGGCCGTTCGCGTTGGGGTCCAGGAGGACTTTGATCGCATCCGCAATCTGTGCCTTAACTCCCACATCCACCTCGACCAGTAGGAGTTCAATCAAGGTGTCGGTCAGAGGCTTGGTGTTCTCGTTCACGGCCTTGAAAATGTGGTTGCGGATGAGAGGAGCATCGTGGTCGATCAAGGCGACTAGGATGTCGGTGCCGGCGACACGAACCGAGGCGTCTTGATGGCGAAGGGCGAAGGTGATGACATTGAAGAGACCCCCGTTAATGAAGTTGTTGTACAGAGCGTTTCTCGCCTGGGGTTGCAAGCTTTTGGCGAGAGCGCAGCATTGCTGAATGAACGCTACACCGTCCTTCTTGCGCTGCTGGTCAGTTTCCTGGGGAGCAAAGATACCGAACAATTCTTTTAAGAAGGGGACGTTGCCCTGTAGGTGCTGCACTATATCGACTTGGTGGAAGAATATGAGGCCATTGAGAACGGTAAACGTGGTATCATCGAGGATGCGCGCGAGGACGACGTCTTTGAGGTATTGCAACCGGTAGGTGTGGTGGATCTTCCTCTTCACATTTGGGTCGTCGAACGGGACGACTTCTTTGAATCGAGTCTCGTCTGCAAGGTACTGTCGGTGATTCGCTTTGTGACTCGGGAAATCGGGATCGTCTGAGACATGCGTCAGTCCATGGTTTCGAGTGCTCATGTATCCGTAACCCACATTCAAAGGCACCAACAACGCCGAAAATGACATCGTCCGTCACGGCAAGCTCGATCATGGCCGTGTCGTTCAGCAGAACCAGAATCTTCATGATATTGCAGAGCCGGTGTAAGTCCGCTAGGCTCTGCTCCCGCTCCGCTATCTCTACAAAAGGCACCAGCTTGTGGATATACTCGGCGGCCATGACGGCTTTTGCGAGCGCTTCCCGCCCTTGCGCGGTGGAATTGGCGGCTCTCATGATATTCTCGATTTCTTGGAGATTCTCCATCTGCGGGGGATCGGGGAGGGTGATCGGTTGAAATGTTTCGATCGCTTCATCTGAAAGACCGTCGTCTAGTGCAACGTCAACATCAATCAGTTGGTATCTGGAATAACTGTTCATACCTGCGGCAGGGCCACCTCCAAGACGCTGTTGCGCGTCACTGACAAATTCCCTGCAAACCCTCGGGTCAGTCCAGTCGATGTATAGCAGCGAGTGTAGAAGCTCACCATATCGCGCCACAACCCTCCGCCTCCTGGAAACTAAGCGCCATATCGGTTCCATTTGTCTCCGTCCATACGATCAGGGTATCTGCCAAGCGTTCAGCCATGTACACACAATCACGTATGGAGCTATAGCCACCTTGCTGCTTCTGATATCCCTCATCCCTACCGATTTTCGTCTCCAGCAACGTCCGAACGGGCTCATCTTCGGACTGGACGTGTATTCGCGCCTCATCCTGCAATCGCAAAACATGTTAGCTATGGGCGCATTGTCATTTATACTGCCACGCTATCCACCCGTCACGCGACCGGCGCAGTGACATCTGTCACTCGCATCGGCGTGCGGAGGCCTAGCAGGAATGGGATGACACGCACATTGACCAACGACCCGGTGCAGAAGCCGGTTCCCCTATCGAACCAGTCGTTGCTCTTCAACTCGTAGACCTTGACGCGCTTCCGATCGTTCGCAGGCGGCGGAGGGGCCAGCGCCATGGTCGGTCGGTTGTCGAGGACGAGCGCCCGTCACTCCCGGCGTCGGGCGACAGCTCACCCTTCCGCGAGCGCGGGCGGCGAGGGGGTGGGCGCGCAGTAAGACGGCGGACGGGGAGGGATTGGAGGGAGCGCGAGGCGGAAACAGGACGGGTTGGGGTCGGTTCGTGTACGGGGATGTGATAGGGACGGTGGAGTCACGAAAGGTGAAATGCGGCGCGTGGGAGGATGGTGGTCACTTGGGAGGGGGGATTCACGGTGGAGGTGTTGGAGGAATTACGGCCGTGGTAGCTTGAGATGGGAGCAAGTTGCGATGAGGTCAAGGCGTCAAGCGACGATGGTGGTCCGGGCGCAACGATTGCAGATTGTAGTTTGTCACGGGGTCCAGCGGTTATATGTATTACTCACCCAAGTATTAATATTTGGGAGTTTGTGAGTTGGTTTGGGGAGGGTAGCGTCGGGTTGCGCCTTCGGGTGGTCTCGGAGGAGCCTACGGTGCTGGCAGTGAACGGGCGTATGGGCGGGTGTCGGGTCTAATGGGCGGTGCTAGATAGCCCGACCGGCGACCGGGAGGCACTACACACCCCGTAACCTTCGGGAGTCGGGCCCCAGCCCTCGGGCGGCGATCTCCCTTGCCGGCTCTCCCTCGAGGCCTCAACCTCCTTAGGCCGGATTGCTGTTGTGAGTGACGGTCACGTGGTATTGCGAATGTTGGGCATTAATAGAAGCACGTGCTGGGCGTGTGGCGTATCGGGTGAGTCCCGGTATGACAGCATCGGGCTTGGCGGTCGGGTCGGCTGGATGTTGATCCGATATCCCTCTGCATCACGTGCAACGCATCACATCGAAGTCGCGAAGTCTAACTCGAACTCCGCGTGAAAGTCTGGGAGAGAACAGAAGTATTAAGATATCCTTAAAGTAAGATACTTGGTAATTACTAGTGGATAGATGCAGACGGTATCAAACCATAAGTCGAAGCGTGTGGGTAGTACTGTGCCTGTATGAACCAATCTGCCCCTCGCATCTACTGACTCCTCCCCTTGCCCTATCACTACTGCATACACTATTCAGGGTCCACGCAGCATGGAAGTCGCCGTAAAATATAAAGCCTATCACCATCCCACATCATCTCTTCTCTCCCCTCTCTCATCTTCCCTTACGACTTTTCCAGTCATTTAGCACCGGTAAAGCGACTTCTGGAGTTTTGCGCTTGCCATCCCGTAATAAAGCTCCAACCCCAATCCCAAATTCTTAAAAGCAAAAAAAAGAAGAAAAGAACTGAAAAAGAAGGAAAAAATCCATATCCGTCCCGTAGGCAACGAAGAGCAAGGAATTTTCGTAAACCGTCCGTCGACGCATCATGACATCTTCGCAAGACCGCTTTTCGCCATCCGCGCCGGACGCGCCAGTCGGTGCACACGGTGGCGGCTCGGCTCCCGTCGCTCGAGGCGATGGCGTACCGGCCGACGAGATCGAGGGACCTCATGGGACCGTCCATTCGGACAAGGCGGGGGACGTCGAGACAGCGGACGCGGACGCGGCGTCGGTGACGGGGGGGACGGCGGCAGCTCCGGCGAGGGTGAAGGCGGGGATCTTCACGTATTTTCGGACGAGGCAGTTTTGGATCGTGTTGGTGCTTGGGTATGTTATATCTGCAAGAGTTGAAGTAGGTATAGTAGAGTGGTCGCTGATGTTGGGAGTGCAGACAGATCCTGGCGCTGTGTCTTGTGGGCACCGGCACGTTCTCGAACTTGCTGGCCAACAAGGGGACGAACATACCCGCCTTTCAGACGTTTTTTAATTATGTCCTGTTGAACATCGTGTATACGAGCATCACCATCTACCGCTACGGTTTCAAGAAGTGGGCGAACGTGGTTCTGAAAGACGGGTGGAAGTGTACGTTCCCCATCTACCCCTTCCCTCCTGGTACTAACCCTTCTCCCCAGATTTCATCTTCGCCTTCATGGACGTCGAAGGCAACTACTTCGTCGTCCTCGCCTATGGCTACACCACTATCATGTCCGCGCAACTCATCAACTTCTGGGCCATCGTTGTCGTCGTCCTCATCTCCCTCATCTTCCTCCGCGTGCGCTACCACCTCACCCAATACGTCGGCATCCTTCTCTGCATCGGCGGCATGGGCGTGCTCATCGCTTCTGATCACCTCCAAGGCACCAACGGTGGCGCCGCCGCCGACCCCGTACGCGGCGACCTCTTCTGCTTGCTGTCGGCCACCTTCTACGGCCTGAGCAACGTGTTTGAAGAGTTCCTGATCAGTCGCCGCCCCATGTACGAGGTCGTCGGGCAGCTGGCCTTCTGGGGCATGTTGATCAACGGCGTGCAAGCCGCCATCTTCGACCGCGCGTCCTTCCGCGCCGCCGTGTGGGACGGCCCCGTGTTCGGCTACCTCGTTGGGTACACGCTGATCCTCTTCACGTTCTACTCGCTCGCGCCGGTTGTGTTTCGCATGTCGAGCGCGGCGTTCTTCAACATCGGGCTGCTCACGGCAAATTTCTGGACCGTGGTGGTCGGGATCAAGGTGTTTCAGTATGCGGTGCACTGGATGTATCCGATCGCGTTCGTGCTGATTGTGATTGGGCTGTTCGTGTATTTCATGGTCGAGGGCGGGTTGGGGGAGGCGAAGAAGCCGTGGTTGGGGGAGAATCAGGAGAGGGGGGTGAGTGGGTTGGGGACGGCGAAGCGGAGGTTGGAGAACCCGGAGGTTACTGTCTAAACTCTAGGGGGGATATTAAGGTTCGAAACTGTCGGAAACGATTCGTGGAATCTAAAATGAGAATGGGGGTCAAGACGATGAAGTGTGGTAAAGTTGGAATAGTCATGCCGGTATCTCACGTATTATGATACATTTATCACATAAACGAGCATTATCTGAGAGAGCCGTCTGCCTTGCCACTGATAATGTATTATTCATTATCCAAAACATAAATTATGCCATTCCAAGCTAAATATCCAATCAATCCATAAGACCTCGCCGTACACCTCCGCTCAACATAAATCCCCCCTATCCCTCCTCTTCCTTCACGCCCTCCTCTTTCCCCCCCACCACCGCCCTCTCTACCTCCTCCCTCGCCACCCGCTGCCACATTTCCCTAGCCCCCCTCTCCGCTAACCCTGTCGCGTCCCCCACCCGCTCATACATCCGCCGCGACACCTCCCGATTAATCTCCGTGTACCGCTCCTTGCTG